AGAGTTCCAGGCAGGGGAATAACAGAGGTCCTTACGTAGAAACACTCTCAGTGTATGTGACAACCAGCAAAGATTCAGGAAATCAGGCACAGGATGAGCTGTGAGGAGAGGAGAAGGGAAGTAGGAGGAGGGACTATGGTTACCCAATCATACAGGACTTTATATACCATTGAAGGGCTGGCAGAGTGAAATAAGAAGCAACTTGAAAGATTCTGAATGTAGGAATTTATTGTTCTGACATGATTTTAACATGATTCTTTTCTTCTAAGAAAGGCTGAGAAAGATGAAACTTAGGAAAACAAAGAGAGAATTGAGTTTGGGGGTTTGTGACTGAATTAAACAATTTTGACATCTAAATGATCATTGCTATCCTTATTTCAAAAAAAAAAAAAAGAAATGCATCTGAGCTTTACCATTGTAATTAAAATGAAGTGACTTGGAAGTTTTCATTTGAGAAAACAATTGTAGGCTGAAATGCCTTTAATTTCTTTATATAATTTCTTTATGCACAGTGCAAAGCTATTACATTTTCTCACTGGTATTCCAAGTGACTCAGCATCTCAAACACCTTATACTTCAGATGCTATAAATCTATGTTCTAAAATATTGGTAAAAGAAGACCTGAGGGACAGTTGTAAATCTTCTTCCACATGCTCAGGTATGTAAGAAACATCTGGTTCTTTTTTAAAATAAATTAAATTAAGGGACCAGCAGATGGTTTAATGGTTACATTGCTGCATTCCCACATAGTTGACCATAGTTCAATTCCTGGAGTTGGTAGCTTACAACTCACAGCAGGCATGTGTGCGTGCATACCCAAAATTCTGAGAGAAGAACTGGGGAGAAGGGATTGTGTTGTGGCCAAAGACCCTGGCGGGAGATTTCTCTATTTCTCTCTCTCTGTCTCTCCAGTGAGTACATGCATCCTATAGCAAAAATCTCTCTCAAAAATAGTTAATTAAGTCTAGCTTTGAGTTTCCATTATGTTGGCTGGTGGGAATATTTACTTTCGCTATTATTGGGGTCCTTTCCAAAAATCTCACCGTTATCTAGAATATTTCTTGCAGACTCAAACTTAACATCCGTCATGGATACTTCTGACATCTTCATTGTTTAAGTGAATATTAATTTCTTTTTCTTTTTGTTTTTTGGAGAGTTTTTTTTTTTTTTTTTTTTTTTTTTTTTTTTT